GTGGTGGTAGTAATGATGATGAGACCGATCTACGCAATACTCTCGTAACTCTTCTTCTAGTGCAAAAACTGTGGAGATAATCGACATCTACATGTCAGGTGACAACTTTTATCATTAGTCTAACTCATCTCTTGATTGTCACAGTCATCTCTTGATTGTCACAGTCATCTCCTGTCACAGTCATCTCTTAATTATCACAATCTTCTCTTGATTATCACAGTCATCTCTTAATTATCACCGTCATCTCTTGATTATCACAGTCATCTCTTGATTGTCACAATAATCTCTAAATTGTCAAAGTCAGTTCTTGATTGTAAAAGTTATGTGTGACTCCTGATTTCTTGCGTTTAATTTAGAAAAACATTATTACCATTGTGTGCACTAAGAAGAAGACAAACACTGAACATCTTAGACAATCTCAGCATCGAGAAGAACTGGCTAGAGAAAGAGAGACTATCAGGTGATGCACACAGGGCTGAAGAACTGGCTAGAGAAAGAGAGAGACTGGTGTTGCACACACGGCTGAAGAACTGGCTAGAGAAAGAGAGACTATCTGGTGTTGCACACAGGGCTGAAGAACTGGCTAGAGAAAGAGAGATACTATCTGGTGTTGCACACAAAACTGAAGAACTAGCTAGAGAAAGAGAGACTATCTGGTGTTGCACACCGGGCTGGAGAACTGGCTAGAGAAAGAGAGACTATCTGGTGTTGCACACAGGGCTGGAGATCTGGCTAGAGAAAGAGGGAGACTATCTGATGTTGCACACAGGGCTGGAGAACTTGCTAGAGAAAGAGAGACTATCTGGTGTTGCACAAAGGCTGAGGAACTAGCTAGAGAAAGAGAGAGACTATCAGGTGTTGCACACAGGGCTGAAGAACTGGCTAGAGAAAGAGAGACTACCAGGTGTTGCACACAGGGCTGAAGAACTGGCTAGAGAAAGAGAGAGACTATCTGGTGTTGCACAGAGGGCTGGAGAACTGGCTAAAGAAAGAGAGACTATCTGGTGTTGCACACACGACTGGAGAACTAGCTAGAGAAAGAGAGACTATCTGGTGTTGCACACAGGGCTGAAGAACTGGCTAGAGAAAGAGAAATACTATCTGGTGTTGCACACAGGGCTGGAGATCTGGCTAGAGAAAGAGGGAGACTATCTGATGTTGCACACAGGGCTGGAGAACTTGCTAGGGAAAGAGAGACTATCAGGTGTTGCACACAGGGATGAGGAACTGGCTAGAGAAAGAGAGAGACTCTGGTGTTGCACACAGGGTTGAGGAACTAGCTAGAGAAAGAGAGACTATCAGGTGTTACACACAGAGCTGAAGAACTGGCTAGAGAAAGAGAAAGACTATCTGGTGTTGCACACACGACTGGAGAACTGGCTAGAGAAAGAGAGACTATCAGGTGTTGCACACAGGGTTGAGGAACTAGCTAGAGAAAGAGAGACTCTGGTGTTGCACACAGGGCTGAGGAACTGGCTAGAGAAAGAGAGAGGCTATCAGGTGTTGCACACAGGGCTGGAAAACTGGCTAGAGAAAGAGAGACTATCTGGTGTTGCACACAGGGCTGGAGAACTGGCTAGAGAAAGAGAGAGACTATCTGGTGTTGCACAGAGGGCTGGAGAACTGGCTAGAGAAAGAGAGAGACTACCAGGTGTTGCACACAGGACTGGACAACTGGCTAGAGAAATAGAGAGACTATCTGGTGTTGCACAGAGGGCTGGAGAACTGGCTAGAGAAAGAGAGAGACTATCTGGTGTTGCACACACGACTGGACAACTGGCTCGAGACTATCACTGACGTCTGCCCTGACATTATCACTGACGTCTGCCCTGACTATCACTGATTTCTGCCCTGACAACACCATTGACGTCTGCCCTGACTATCACTGACGTCTGCCCTGACTATCACTGACGTCTGCCCTGAGATTATCACTGACGTCTGCCTTGAGATTATCACTGACGTCTGCCCTGAGATTATCACTGACGTCTGCCCTGGCTATCACTGACGTCTGCCCTCACATTATCATTGACGTCTGCCCTGACATAATCATTGGCGTCTGCCCTGACTATCACTGCCATCTGCCCTGACTATCACTGACGTCTGCCCTGAGATTATCACTGACGTCTGCCCTGAGAATATCACTGACGTCTGCCCTGAGATTATCACTGACGTCGGCCCTGAGATTATCACTGACGTCTGCCCTGACTATCACTGACGTCTTCCCTGACATTATCACTGACGTCTGCCATGAGATTATCACTGACGTCGGCCCTGAGATTATCACTGACGTCTGCCCTGATTATCACTGACGTCTTCCCTGACATTATCACTGACGTCTGCCCTGAGATTATCACAGACGTCTGCCCTGAGATTATCACTGACGTCTGCCATGAGATTATCACTGACGTCTGCCCTGAGATTATCACAGACGTCTACCCTGACTATCACTGACATCTGCCCTGAGATTATCACTGACGTCTGCCCTGAGATTATCATTGACGTCTGCCCTGAGATTATCACTGACGTCTGCCCTGAGATTATCACTGACGTCTGCCCTGACATTATCCCTGACGTCTGCCCTGACATTATCATTGACGTCTGCCCTGAGATTATCACTGACGTCTGCCCTGAGATTATCACTGACGTCTGCCCTGAATATCACTGACTCTGCCCTGACTATCACTGACGTCTGACCTGACTATCACTGACGTCTACCCTGACTATCACTGACGTCTGCCCTGACTATCACTGACGTCTGCCCTGAGATCATCATTGACGTCTGCCCTGACTATCACTGATGTCTGCCCTGACATTATTATTGACGTCTGCCCTGACTATCACTGACGTTTGCCCTGACACTATCACTGACGTCTGCCCTGACTATCACTGACGTCTGCCCTGAGATTATCACTGACGTCTGCCCTGACATTATCATTGACGTGTGCCCTGACATTTTCTCAATCACTGAACGTATGCCCTGACACCGTGACTAACGTATGCCCTGACACCGTGACTAACGTATGCCCTGACACCGTGACTAAACGTATGCCCTGACACCGTGACTAACGTATGCCCTGACATCGTGACCGCCCTGACTGACTAACGTATGTCCTGACACCGTGACTAACGTATGCCCTGACACCGTGACTAACGTATGCCCTGACATCGTGACTAACGTATGCCCTGACACCGTGACTAACGTATGCCCTGACACCGTGACTAACGTATGCCCTGACACCGTGACTAACGTATGCCCTGACACCGTGACTAACGTATGCCCTGACACCGTGACTAACGTATGCCCTGACATCGTGACTAACGTATGCCCTGACACCGTGACTAACGTATGCCCTGACACCGTGACTAACGTATGCCCTGACACCGTGACTAACGTATGCCCTGACACCGTGACTAACGTATGCCCTGACACCGTGACTAACGTATGCCCTGACACGTATGCCCTGACTAACGTATGCCCTGACACCGTGACTAACGTATGCCCTGACACCGTGACTAACGTATGCCCTGACACCGTGACTAACGTATGCCCTGACACCGTGACTAACGTATGCCCTGACACCGTGACTAACGTATGCCCCCTGACTACCGTGCCCTACACTGCCCTGACACCGTGACTAACGTATGCCCTGACACCGTGACTAACGTATGCCCTGACACCGTGACTAACGTATGCCCTGACACCGTGACTAACGTATGCCCTGACACCGTGACTAACGTATGCCCTGACACCGTGACTAACGTATGTCCTGACACCGTGACTAACGTATGCCCTGACACCGTGACTAACGTATGCCCTGACACTGTGACTAACGTATGCCGTGACTGACACCGTGACTAACGCTATGTATGACACCGTGACTAACGTATGCCCTGACACCGTGACTAACGTATGCCCCGACACCGTGACTAACGTATGCCCTGGCACTGTGACTAACGTATGCCCTGACACCATCACTTTACGTGTTCCATGACAAAATCACTTTACGTGTTTCCTGACACCATCACTTTACGTGTTCCCTGACGCCATCACTTTACGTGATCCCCGAGTCTTCACTTGTATGTTTCAGATCGCTGACCATCATCATCATCATCTGGTGCCCCAGACAAGTCATGCTCCAGTGAACCAAAACACTGTGAACGAATTCCCATAACCTCGGGATGAGATTTGGAGCCTTAACCCATCCCCTTAACTTGAGCTGAAAATATGATATGGATAGAAGATCTACCACCGGAGCTCCGGGGGTGAGTTACCTTTGTTATAGTTGTTGGCGTATTCATGAAGTTTACATAAAGAATGCCATCACTTGTCTTTGGGAGAGCTGAGCTAAATGAGGTGACTGCGGTCGGCTGTCTAAACAAAACATTTATTAAAGGTTAGAAATGGACAACAAATATAGGACAAACATAAAATATATGTTAGTATGACACAAAGAGGTTGCGGCTATTTGTTTTTTTCCTCGGCTAGAACAAAACAAAACTCACAAATCTGAACTGCACTAAAATGACTTTGTTACCGTATTCAAATATTATGTAAACAGATAAGACCGTAAACTCGTAAAAAACAAAAGTATAAAATTTATGATTGTTAACTGGACTGCTCGGCGTTTTAGAAGGTAAAGAAATTCCATGAAGATGTCATTATTTAGTCAATGAGGCGGCGATACAAGGCCTTGCTGTCCAGGCTGGGTGAAGGCAGTCTCTCTCTCTCTACCACTCTCTCTTTCTCTCTCTCTCTCTTTCTCTCTCTCTCTCTCTCTCTCTCTCTCTCTCTCTCTCTCTCTCTCTCTCTCTCTCTTTCTCTCTCTCTCTCTCTCTACCACTCTCTCTTTCTCTCCCTCTCTCTCTCTTTCTCTCTCTCTCTCTCTCTCTCTCACACACACACACACACTGTCTGATTTGCACGGCTGTCGATGTCTGATTTCATGATGTCACAGGGCCAATGAGGGAGGTAGTTGATTCATGCAACATACATTAATGAGGTCCCGGCCACATACATTAATGAGGTCCCGGCCACATACATTAATGAGGTCCCGGCCACATGCATTAATGAGGTCCCGGCCACATACATTAATGAGGTCCCGGCAACATACATTAATGAGGTCCCAGCCACATACATTAATGAGGTCCCGGCCACATACATTAATGAGGTCCCGGCCACATACATTAATGAGGTCCCGGCCACATACATTAATGAGGTCCCTGCCACATACATTAATGAGGTCCCGGCAACATACATTAATGAGGTCCCGGCAACATACATTAATGAGGTCCCGGCCACATACATTAATGAGGTCCTTGCCACATACATTAATGAGGTCACTGCAACATACATTAATGAGGTCCCGGCAACATACATTAATGAGGTCCCGGCCACATACATTAATGAGGTCCTTGCCACATACATTAATGAGGTCACTGCAACATACATTAATGAGGTCCCTGCCACATACATTAATGAGGTCCCGGCAACATACATTAATGAGGTCCCGGCAACATACATTAATGAGGTCCCGGCAACATACATTAATGAGGTCCCTGTCACATACATTAATGAGGTCCCTGTCATATACATTAATGAGGTCACTGCAACATACATTAATGAGGTCCCGGCCACATACATTAATGAGGTCCCGGCAACATACATTAATGAGGTCCCGGCAACATACATTAATGAGGTCCCGGCAACATACATTAATGAGGTCCCTGCCACATACATTAATGAGGTCCCTGCCAAATACATTAATGAGGTCCCGGCAACATACATTAATGAGCTTCCAGCAACATACATTAATGAGGTCACTGCAACATACATTAATGAGGTCCCTGCAACATACATTAATGAGGTCACTGCAACATACATTAATGAGGTCACTGCAACATACATTAATGGGGTCACTGCAACATACATTAATGAGGTCACTGCAACATACATTAATGAGGTCCCTGCAACATACATTAATGAGGTCACTGTAACATACATCCCCTTTTGAATACCAAAATCTTGAAACCTGTACAGGCACACACACAAAAATGCATAGGGCACATATCAGATGTGCCAACACTAACGATTCCATACTAAAACTGCAGCTCGCTGCTGGCTCAAACGGTCAGTCACTAAAGCCAACATTGAACTTGCCAAAGAACACGCCATTCTGAAGGTAATCGGTCACCTGCAGGTCATCTAATGAGCTGCTCTGCAGTTATAGGCAAACAACCCTGCACACGACACGTGTTATCCTGGCGGTTAAGCACGTAAATGTCGAGAGTTGAGGGAAATGTTAGGGATATAAAGTTCATTACTGAACTCTAGACAACTGGACCCAAGGATGTCACGTGACAGCTGGTCGTGTCAACTTGGTTACTTTCTCTAATCACTTGACACTAGTTTACGACATTGTCCTATCAGGTTTCGTTAACTTTACGACATCCTTTCCGGTTCGGTTGCATCACCGACAGGAAGGGGAAATAGAAGTTTGTGGCACTTCCGTTTCTGGTAAGATGCCATGTTGCCTCATGCACTAATTCTGTTCCGTCAACGTTCCTGTTCCGTTAGCATTCCTGTGCAGTCAGCGATTATCTCGATGGCTACAATTCTGGCAAATCCACTGGTTTCTTTACTTAGAGCGGAGGGGATCTCTGCCACACAGCTACCTTGGACATGGTGCTTCGATACTGAGGCGAGAGATAAAAATTTATACACACGTCCTTCGTAACCATGCTAATCCTTTATAATAGCCCAAGACTTTTTCTTCTTCTTCTTCTTCTTCTTCTTCTTCTTCTTCTTCTTCTTCTTCTTCTTCTTCTCTTCTTCTTCTTCTTCTTCTTCTTCTTCTTCTTCTTCTTCTTCTTCTTCTTCTTCTTCTTCTTCTTCTTCTTCGTCTTCTTTTTCTTCTTCTTCTTCGTCTTCTTCTTCTTCTTCTTCTTCTTCTTCTTCTTCTTCTTCTTCTTCTTCTTCTTCTTCTTCTTCTTCTTCTTCTTCTTCTTCTTCTTCTTCTGTATTTGTCATTAAAAGAGGTGGGTATTTTTTTAAAAGAGGTCTAGAACTATCACCCACACAGGAAGGGTCTCTGAAACGTACAGGTAGGGCCTAAACGACATAGCAATCCTGAAACTGCTTCAGAATCCTCAGTGGACCATGGCATCCACAGACGACGAGGCAACCAGTGCATCAGTCAAAGGTAAACAGTCCTGTCCGCGGACACACCGACTGTCAAAGGTAAACAACCCTGTCCGTGGACACACCGACCGTCAAAGGTAAACAGTCCTGTCCGCGGACACACCGACCATCAAAGGTAAACAACCCTGTCCGTGGACACACCGACCATCAAAGGTAAACAACCCTGTCCGTGGACACACCGACCAATATGAAGTGCAACCATCTTCACCACTTGTAGACTCTGCGAGGTCAGACAAGTCCAGCCACCCTGGAAGAGAATGTCGCGGGGGTGTAAGAATGCACAAAGATGTTTTGTCCCGCGGCAACCACACAAGCGTTCAGTCACCCACGCAAGCTGTCACCCCCTGCAGTAGCGGGCATGACGTCGATGAACCCAAGAAGACTGGAGAGTTTGGACGGATTCTGTGTTCAATCAATGTAATTATTGATTGTCATTAGTGGCTCAATAACACGGAAAAGTGGGCAGAGACAGATAACAGAGACATGTATGAACTCTTTACCAGTTTCATGAGGCTGTATATACCGACTGTCAAAATCCAGAAGGCAGACCATTCTTAGAAACATGTGAGTTAGCTGCTGTCGTGAATTAGCCGCTATCGTGAATTAGCCGCTATCGTGAATTAGCCGCTATCGTGAATTAGCCGCTATCGTGAATTAGCCGCTATCGTGAATTAGCCGCTATCGTGAATTAGCCGCTATCGTGAATTAGCCGCTATCGTGAATTAGCCGCTATCGCGAATTAGCTGCTGTGGTGAATGAGCGCCATCCTTCAATGAGTTTGTGGTTAATGGAAATCTGTGCAATATTTTTGTTTGACCTCCTGTAAGATATGGCATTGTGTGTGTGAGAAGGGAAGCCGCCTACATTGTGTGTGTATGAAGGGAAGCCGCCTACATTGTGTGTGTGAGAAGGGAAGCCGCCTACAATGTGTGTTGGAGAAGGGAAACCGCCTACATTGTGTGTGGAAGAAGGAAAGCCGCTAACACTGTGTGTCGGCGAACAGAAGCCACCTACACTGAGTGTGAGAGAAGGGACTCCACCTACACTGTGTGTGAGAAAAGGGACTCTGCCTACACTGTGTGTGGGAGAAAGGACTCCGCCTACACTGTGTGTTTGAAAAGGGTAGCTGCCTACACTGAGGCATGTATCTTTGAACCTGTAAGACCTCTGACTGCACCGGATAAGTGTCTGTGTCATCACTATCATTAGCATCAAGTTCCGCCTCCTTAATAATGCTGTAGCGGAAGATCCCCTATGGCATACCCTCACATACACCCTCCCCCCCCCCCCCCCCCCCCCCCCATTTTCCCAAGGCAATGCCCAGAGATTAATGTTTTCTGGAACAGAAACTTTTGTGTATGCCGTTTGTATTTTCATGAACATCTCGGTGTTGTGCGGTCAATGTTAAATTCGACTTCAACGCCAGCTCATCCTAACCTGCAGCATTATTAACATTGATAACAACGAAGTAAACGCAAATCTTTGTTGTTGTTGTTGTTGTTGTTGTTGTTGTTGTTGTTGTTGTTGTTGTTGTTGTTGTTGTTGTTGCTCGGACAAACATCCTCGTTGATTTCCCAAACTTTACAGTTCTAGTCCATACTCTAGTCTGTAAGTCCTCATTTAATGCTCCACACTCCAGTCTTTACCATTGTTGTATACACATTGTATTGACTATACATTCTCACGATATTAAAATCTACTTGTTGAAACTTCTGACTCGGTATGGTCTAATGGTTTGACTATGTATGGTCCTATGGTTTGACTCTGTATGGTCCAATGGTTTGGCTCTGTATGGTTCAATGGTTTGACTATGTATGGTCCTATGGTTTGACTCTGTAATGTGCAATGGTTTGACTCTGTATGGTCTTATGGTTTGACTCTGTATGGTCAAATGGTTTGACTCTGTATGGTCCAATGGTTTGATTCTGTATGGTCCAATGGTTTGCCTCTGTATACTATAACGTTCTACATGCTAAGCTTTGTACATGACACAACGTGTTCCTACATTCTATACTCTACTGGTAGTGACAGCTGATAATACTTTTTCCAGCATTCTATAATCTCTATACCTTATAAAAAGCGTCTCCAGAAACTGGGATAGAAAGTGAGAGAAGAAAAACGCCAACCAAGAATTGTGGAAATTCCCCTTGGTGCCCTAGCAACAGGTCAGCCTTCGCCACGGCGGCCCTTCGTCTGCATAAGGTTTCATTCAACATCGTCTGTGAACACAGCAGACGTTTGACAAAATCGATAACGCTGTTTTCACAAATCTGCCGCCTTCCGCCTCTCCCGCCTCTTGTTAGAGTGAGGCTGGGGAGAGATGAGTGGCCGGGGTTTCAACGCATAAACTATGTCAGCAGTTTTGTTCAGCTTCCGCTCAAGATGGTAGTGTCTGTTGTTTGACGTCTGCGGCAGAAATACAACAACAGACTAATTACCGCCTGATTTCTCCATTGTCTGAGCCTTGAGTCCACAGTGATTGGCGAGAGGGGATACTGCAGGCTGAGGCAAACGTAGAATTTGTTTACTGTGCTGTAAGTGCACACCAGAATAATAATGAACAAATGGCTTCATTATCGTGTGGAGAACCAGATTTGCTGGTAATCAGAATCCAGGAAAACAAATCGTCACACCTCGAACACGCCACATACATCACTACAGACACAGACAAACCTAGCCACGCACGTATAGCATTTATAAAACACAAAACATGTAACACAGATGAGAGAGAAATTAGACAGATGTCAGAGAAATCAGATGTGAGTGAAATCAGATGTGAGAGAAATCAGAAGTGAGAGAAATCAGACAGATGTGAGATGAATAATACCGATGAGTGAGGAATTAGAGAGATAAATCATACAGATGAGAGATAAACGATACAGACGAAAGATGAATCATACAGATGAGAGATGAACGATACAGACGAAAGATGAATCATACAGATGAGAGATGAACTATGCAGACGAAAGATGAATCATACAGATGAAAGATGAACTATGCAGATGAAAGATGAATCATACAGATGAGAGGAACTATGTAAATGAAAGATGAATGACACAGATGAGAGATGAACTATGTAGATGAAAGATGAATGACACAGATGATTGATGAACGATACAGTCGAAAGATTAATCATACAGATGAGAGTTGAACTATGCAGATGAAAGATGAATCATACAGATGAGAGATGAACTATACAACGAAAGATGAATCATCCAGATTAGAGATGAACTATACAACGAAAGATGAATCATACAAATGAGAGATGAACTATACAACGAAAGATGAATCATCCAGATGAGAGATGAACTATGTAGATGGAAGATGAATGACATAGATGAGAGATGAACTATACAGACGAAAGATGAATCATACAGATGAGAGATGAACTATGTAGATGAAAGATGAATGACACATTTGAGAGATGAACTATACAGACGAAAAATGAATCATACAGATGAGAGATGAACTATGCAGACGAAAGATGAATCATACAGATGATTGAAAAACCATACAGATGATAGATGCTTTATACAAGTGATAGCGATCCGTCCGTATAGAAAACATTCTTGTCATCGCAAATAGTTTTTTTTATCAAATTCCAAGAACGCTCTTCACCTGATGGTAATCACAAAAACCAAATTGATAACATCATGACGCAACAGAGATTCATAAGACATGCATAACATCCTAAGAATCGCAAAAATACTTCTGGCGCAGATGGTGATACAGACAATAAACTGTTTGTGGCGAATCTCAAGTTGAGGAAGACATGTCACCTGATGAACTAACCACACAGGCAACCGACACATTCATCACAACAGCGCAACAAATGTTGCATAGGGAAGTATATAGGAAACTGGAATACATCACAGAAAAAACGTCGAGCCTAACTGAAGAAAGAAGAAAACAAGGACAAAAACCAGCGACACAATATGCACAAACCACATACAGAAAGTGAGAAATGCGATCAGAGAAAATAAACAATTTGTTATCAAGACGTAACAAAACAGGGACGGGATAGACAAATGTTCAAAGAGATCAGAAAACTAACAACAAAATTCAAACCTTCAATGAATATCAAAAACGATAGAAATAGCAACGCTTTCACGGAAAGCAAAGAAATACTAGATAGAAAGATGGAAGGATTACTTTTGAGAAATGTACAAAGATTCAAAAAGCATGCCAGATAATGCCGAAGAAATCGAATAGAAAGAGCCTGACTTTCTTTTAGAGGAAGTAAGAATAGCAATCATGAACCTGAAATCTGGCACATCTCCGGGATGTGACCACATACCAGCAGAGTTAATTCAGACTGGAGGAGAAGTCCTATACCATGCACTGTGTGTGAACACCTGGAACAGGGCTGACTAGCCCAAAGCTTGGGCAAGATTAGTCTTTGTTCCTCTCCCGAAACAAGGAAATAGATTATGTAACAATTGTCATACTTTAGCTGTGATCATGCCAGCAAAATCCTTCAGCAGATCATCTCGAGGAGGATCATGAACAAACTGGAATATGATTTACTAGACGAACAAGCGGGTTTTAGGTATGGCAGAGAAACAAGAGACCATATTTTCAGTGTGAGAATCACCCTAGAGAAGTGTAGAGAATACACGATAGCTCTTCATACTTGTTTTATAGACTACAGCAAGGCATTTGATTGTGTGCACCACCATAAACTATGACATATAATGAGAGGCATGGGATTTCCAAAACATTAAGTGCACCTAATGGAATCTTTTTACCAGGAACAACAAGCAACTGTCAGAGTAGCTGGTCGAAATGCCTCAGAAGAAAATGTGCATCACAAAACACCTGTAAATTAGTTACAGTTAAAATCTTAAAACCACGCATTTTTCCTGCTATGGGTATGTCAGTCTAAAAGACAGTCTGTGGACATGTCCAATCTAAGGGACAGTCTGTGGACATGGCCAGTCTAAGGGACAGTCTGTGGACATGGCCAGTCTAAGGGACAGTCTGTGGACATGGCCAGTCTAAGGGACAGTCTGTGGACATGACCAGTCTAAGGGACCGTCTGTGGACATGTCCAGTCTAAGGGACCGTCTGTGGACATGTCCAGTCTAAGGGACCGTCTGTGGACATGTCCAGTCTAAGGGACCGTCTGTGGACATGACCAGTCTAAGGGACAGTCTGTGGACATGACCAGTCTAAGGGACCGTCTGTGGACATGTCCAGTCTAAGGGACCGTCTGTGGACATGTCCAGTCTAAGGGACCGTCTGTGGACATGACCAGTCTAAGGGACAGTCTGTGGACATGTCCAGTCTAAGGGACAGTCTGTGGACATGTCCAGTCTAAGGGACAATCTGTGGACATGTCCAGTCTAAGGGACCGTCTGTGGACATGTCCAGTCTAAGGGACAATCTGTGGACATGACCAGTCTAAGGGACAATCTGTGGACATGTCCAGTCTAAGGGACAATCTGTGGACATGTCCAGTCTAAGGGACAATCTGTGGACATGTCCAGTCTAAGAGACAATCTGTGGACATGTCCAGTCTAAGGGACAATCTGTGGACATGTCCAGTCTAAGGGACAATCTGTGGACATGTCCAGTCTAAGGGACAATCTGTGGACATGTCCAGTCTAAGGGACAATCTGTGGACATGTCCAGTCTAAGGGACAATCTGTGGACATGACCAGTCTAAGGGACAGTCTGTGGACATGTCCAGTCTAAGGGACAGTCTGTGGACATGTCCAGTCTAAGGGACCGTCTGTGGACATGTCCAGTCTAAGGGACTGTCTGTGGACATGACCAGTCTAAGGGACCGTCTGTGGACATGTCCAGTCTAAGGGACAGTCTGTGGACATGTCCAGTCTAAGGGACAGTCTGTGGACATGTCCAGTCTAAGGGACAATCTGTGGACATGTCCAGTCTAAGGGACAGTCTGTGGACATGTCCAGTCTAAGGGACAGTCTGTGGACATGGCCAGTCTAAGGGACAGTCTGTGAACATGTCCAGTCTAAGGGACAATCTGTGAACATGTCCAGTCTAAGGGACAATCTGTGGACATGTCCAGTCTAAGGGACAGTCTGTGGACATGTCCAGTCTAAGGGACAGTCTGTGGACATGTCCAGTCTAAGAGACAGTCTGTGGACATGTCCAGTCTAAGGGACAATCTGTAGACATGTCCAGTCTAAGTCTGTGGACATGTCCAGTCTAAGTCTGTGGACATGTCCAGTCTAAGTCTGTGGACATGTCCAGTCTAAGGGACAGTCTGTGGACATGTCCAGTCTAAGGGACCGTCTGTGAACATGTCCAGTCTAAGGGACAGTCTGTGAACATGTCCAGTCTAAGGGACCGTCTGTGAACATGTCCAGTCTAAGGGACCGTCTGTGGACATGTCCAGTCTAAGGGACAATCTGTAGACATGTCCAGTCTAAGTCTGTGGACATGTCCAGTCTAAGTCTGTGGACATGTCCAGTCAAAGGGACAGTCTGTGGACATGTCCAGTCTAAGGGACACTCTGTGAACATGGCCAGTCTAAGGGACCGTCTGTGAACATGTCCAGTCTAAGAGACAGTCTGTGAACATGCCCAGTCTAAGGGACAGTCTGTGAATATGTCCAGGCTAAGGGACAGTCTGTGGACATGTCCAGTCTAAGAGACAGTTTGTGTACATGGCCAGGCTAAGGGACAGTCTGTGGACATGTCCAGGCTAAGGGACAGTATGTGGACATGTCCAGGCTAAGGGACAGTCTGTGGACATGTCCAGTCTAAGGGACAGTCTGTGGACATGTCCAGTCTAAGGGACAGTCTGTGGACATGGCCAGTCTAAGGGACAGTCTGTGAACATGTCCAGTCTAAGGGACAATCTGTGAACATGTCCAGTCTAAGGGACAATCTGTGGACATGTCCAGTCTAAGGGACAGTCTGTGGACATGTCCAGTCTAAGGGACAGTCTGTGGACATGTCCAGTCTAAGAGACAGTCTGTGGACATGTCCAGTCTAAGGGACAATCTGTAGACATGTCCAGTCTAAGTCTGTGGACATGTCCAGTCTAAGTCTGTGGACATGTCCAGTCTAAGTCTGTGGACATGTCCAGTCTAAGGGACAGTCTGTGGACATGTCCAGTCTAAGGGACCGTCTGTGAACATGTCCAGTCTAAGGGACAGTCTGTGAACATGTCCAGTCTAAGGGACCGTCTGTGAACATGACCAGTCTAAGGGACAGTCTGTGGACATGTCCAGTCTAAGGGACAGTCTGTGGACATGTCCAGTCTAAGAGACAGTCTGTGGACATGTCCAGTCTAAGGGACAATCTGTAGACATGTCCAGTCTAAGTCTGTGGACATGTCCAGTCTAAGTCTGTGGACATGTCCAGTCTAAGTCTGTGGACATGTCCAGTCTAAGGGACAGTCTGTGGACATGTCCAGTCTAAGGGACAGTCTGTGAACATGTCCAGTCTAAGGGACCGTCTGTGAACATGTCCAGTCTAAGGGACCGTCTGTGGACATGTCCAGTCTAAGGGACAATCTGTAGACATGTCCAGTCTAAGTCTGTGGACATGTCCAGTCTAAGTCTGTGGACATGTCCAGTCAAAGGGACAGTCTGTGGACATGTCCAGTCTAAGGGACACTCTGTGAACATGGCCAGTCTAAGGGACCGTCTGTGAACATGTCCAGTCTAAGAGACAGTCTGTGAACATGCCCAGTCTAAGGGACAGTCTGTGAATATGTCCAGGCTAAGGGACAGTCTGTGGACATGTCCAGTCTAAGAGACAGTTTGTGTACATGGCCAGGCTAAGGGACAGTCTGTGGACATGTCCAGGCTAAGGGACAGTATGTGGACATGTCCAGGCTAAGGGACAGTCTGTGGACATGTGCAGTTTAAGGGACAGTCTGTGGACATGGCCAGGCTAAGGGAAAGTCTGTGGACATGTCCAGTCTAAGAGACAGTCTGTGGACATGGCTAGGCTAAGAGCCATTATGTGATTGATATAACAACACAGATTCATTGTGACAATATTTGTCGTTACTAGTCATTACCCTTCTCTTCACTGCTCTCTCTCTCTCTCTCTCTCTCTCTCGATCAGTCATTACTCTCTCCGTCAGACAGTACCATCTTTGTCTGACAGTACTCTCTCCGTCAGACAGTACTATCTTCGTCTGACAGTACTCTCTCCGTCAGACAGTACTATCTTCGTCTGACAGTACTCTCTCCGTCAGACAGTACTATCTTCGTCTGACAGTACTCTCCGTCAGACAGTACTATCTTCGTCTGACAGTACTCTCTTACTTATTACTATCGTCGTCAGACAAGGACTCTCTCTTTTGGACAGTACTATCTCTGTCAGAGAGTACGCTATCTGATAGTTAATACTTTCTCACTCCAACAGTACTATTCCGTCAGTCATTACTTTCTCCGCCAGACAGTACTCTCCGTCAGTCAGTACTCTCTCAGCCAAACAGTAATCTCTCCGTCAGTCAGTATCTTTCTGTCAGACGGTACTTTCTCCGTCAGTCATTACTGTGATAGTACTCTCTCCGTCAGTCAGTACTGTCTCAGTCATTGCTCTGTCTGACAGTCAGTACTCTCTTGGTCAGACAGTGCTCTTCATCAGTCAGTACTCTATCCGTCAAACAATAGTTTCTTTCAGTCAGTACTCTCCCCGTCGGACATTGCTCTCTCAGATAGACAGTACTCTATCTGTCAGTCAGTACTCCCTACCAAAGTCATTAATATTCCGTCAGCCAGTAATCTCTCTGCTCGTCTATGTCAGTCAGTTCTCTCTGTCGGTCGGTACTCCATCCTTTAAGTCAGTTAGTAGTCTCTCCGTCAGTTAGTACTTTCTTCGTAGGTCAGTTCTAAACTCTACTACGGTCAGTAATATTTCAGTCAGTCATTTCTCTCTCTGTCAGGCATTGCTCTCCGTCATTCAGTTCTCTCTCTGTCAGTCAACGCTCTTCATCAGTCAGTGCTCTCCACCAGTCAGTGCTCTCCAATAGTCAGTGCTCTTCATCAGTCAGTGCTCTTCATCAGTCAGTGCTCTCCAACAGTCAGTGCTCTTCATCAGTCATTGCTCTCCAACAGTCAGTGCTCTCTATCAGTCAATGCTCTCTACCAGTCAGTGCTCTATATCAGTCAATTCTCTCCGTCATTCAGTACTCCCTCCATCAGTCCGTGCTCTCCATCAGTCAGTGCTCTCCATCAGTCAGTGCTCTCTATCAGTCAGTGTTCTCCATCAGTCAGTGTTCTCTATCAGTCCGTGATCTCCATCAGTCAGTGCTCTCTATCAGTCAGTGCTCTCCATCAGTCAGTGCTCTCCATCAGTCAGTACTCTCTATCAGTCAGTGCTCTCCATCAGTCAGTGCTCTCCATCAGTCAGTGCTCTCCATCAGTCAGTGCTCTCCATCAGTCAGTGCTCTCTATCAGTCAGTACTCTCTATCAGTCAGTGCTCTCCATCAGTCAGTGCTCTCCATCAGTCAGTGCTCTCCATCAGTCAGTGCTCTCCATCAGTCAGTGCTATCAGTCAGTACTCTCTATCGGCCAGTGCTCTCTATCAGTCAGTACTCTCCATCAGTCAGTGTTCTCCATCAGTCAGTGCTCTCCATCAGTCAGTGCTATCCATCAGTCAGTGCTCTCTATCAGTCAGTGCTCTCTATCAGTCAGTGCTCTGTATCAGTCAGTGCTCTCCATCAGTCAGTACTCTCCATCAGTTAGTGCTCTCCATCAGTCAGTGCCCTCTATCAGTCAGTACTCTCCATCAGTCAGTGCTCTCCGTCAGTCAGTGCTCTCCATCAGTCAGTGCTCTCCATCAGTCAGTGCTCTCCATCAGTCAGTGCTCTCTGTCAGTCAGTACACTTTTCCTTCTCTATCAAGGGCTTGTGCTTAGCGTCATTGACTATGGTCTCGGCCTCCTAACTGTCAGCAAAACCCAGCTAGAAAGACTGGACCGAGTACAGAATGAGGCCATGAGACTCATACTCGGCTGCACAAAAGACACCCCCTGCAACGCCATGCGTTATATCCTGGGTCTGCCGACTATGACAAGCAGATACAAAGTGGCACAGGTCAAGGCTTACATGAGGGTATCGGCAGATGTTAACCACCCATTACACAAAGCTATTTACGACACAAAAGGAACGCGTCTCAAAAGGGGCCGCTCTTGGATGGCAAAGGCTGAGGACTTAATCCTGCAGGTATGTGACCTAGACGTGATCAGCCACGGAAAAGAATGGACGAATACACCAGTAGACATGCATAGCATCTCTAAGGTTGTCATCACACTCGGTAGGTACTGCAGGGATCAAATTCCTGCGGCGGTAGACACAGAAGTAAGGGAACTGATAGATCAGCATTCAGACCCAGAAGATACCATCATTTACACAGATGGATCTGTGAAGCGCGGATCAAGGTCAGCATGGGCATACACAGCGCAAAGAAAGGGGAAAACAATACATGAGGACAGCGGCGCTTACCAGACAACCACGTCAAGCATGACAATGGAAATAGCCGCTGCTTCTAGAGCTTTAGCATGGGTATCCGAGCAAACCGCCACACAGGTAGTAATTGTCTCAGACTCAATGAATATGCTTCAGAAGATAGCAACAGGCAGTATGCGCTCTGAATGGATAGAAAGCATCAGGAAATCGCACTTAACCTCCGTAACCTGGATCTACACACCGGGTCATGCGGGCGTGAAGGGAAATGAGCGAGCAGACCAACTGGCAAGCACTGCACTAATGATTGCAGGAAAAAGTATGGACAGAGCAGACATAGTCAACGCTGTACGAACCGGGCTAGTGGAGAATGAGGAATCCCTGACACTAACACGATTGCGTGACATGGGAGTTAAGCATGGTGATGCACGTCTTTGCCGTCTTCGAGGCCGAGAAAAGGAGACAATATAACCAGCTTCTCATGGGGACAATTAGTAGAAGTACTTTAGAGTGGCTGCTGCTTCGGAGAACTGAGCACGCATGGGTATGCCCAATGTGCAATGACATTAATTGTGATAACAGAACATAAAATAACATCTTAGTAGGGAGTCGGCAGTACGAAACTCAAGTTCAAGGTGTCTCCTTCGTGCCAAAGAACTGCATGGCTGTTGGGTGAACAGTCGTTAACGAGGGCAGGCAGGTTGTTGTAGGGGCGACGCCTGCTGGTGGATGTAATGTCCTAAGTCCCTTCCCCAGCTAATAATGAGGGTACTGCTGGGGTGACCATTTGTTAACCCTCATATAATTCTTCCGGTCAAAATGGACGCTAGGTACGGCCACCTTTTTTTTTTTTTTTTTTTTTAAGCCGTGGCAAATATTTTTCCAGACGGTGGCCGTTGCATTTTTGCTCCATTTGTAGACTGGAAGGATGTAGTTTCGTCGCCCAGCTTCTGAGTTGAGTGCATGGCGTGACACTGTGAGCTGCGTTTGTTTTTCGTTGGCACAGGAGCGGAGCATGTGTGGGGTGACCCGTTTGCTATGAAGCTGAAACTAGGATTACCAGATTACCAGATTACTCTCCGTTAGTCAGTACTCTCTCGTCAGACATTACTCTCTCCGTCAGTCAGTACACTCTGCGACAGTCAAGACTTTCTCCGTCAGACAGTACTCTTTCCGTCATTCAGTACTCTCATCGCCAGACAGTACTCTTTCCGTCATTCAGTACTCTCATCGCCAGACAGTACTCTTTCCGTCATTCAGTACTCTCATCGCCAGACAGTGCTCTTTCCGTCATTCAGTACTCTCATCGCCAGACAGTACTCTTTCCGTCATTCAGTACTCACATCGCCAGACAGTACTCTTTCCGTCATTCAGTACTCTCATTGCCAGACAGTGCTCTTTCCGTCATTCAATGCTCTCATCGCCAGACAGTACTCTTTCCGTCATTCAATGCTCTCATCGCCAGACAGTACTCTATCCGTCAGTGTGTGCACTCTCCGAGTCAGTACTCTCCCGTTCTGACAATATTCATTTTGACAGTCAGTACTCTCTCCACCAGTCTTTGTCAGTCAGTACTCTCTCTGTCAGGCAGTAATTTACTTTTTAGTCAGTATCTCTCTGTCAGATAGTAGTCTCTCTGTCAGTCAGCATTCTCCTTCAGTCAGTACTCTCTCTGTTAGTCAGTACTCTTTTTGTTATTACCCTCTCCGTCAGTCAGTACTCTCCGTCAGTCAGTACTCTACTCTCCGTCAGTCAGTACTCTCCGTCAGTCCATACTCTCCATCAGTCAGTACTCTCCGTCAGTCCATCTTTCCCTGTCAGGTTCCTCTCTTAAAAAAGAAGCAGACATGCAGCGGTAGGGGAGGTTGGCTAGGATTAGAAACTTGGAGGTCAGGCTGGGGTTTTCCCGGGGCTCACAGGTAATACTTGACACCGATTGATCTTAACAGCTGCCAGGTGTGTCGTGTCACTGCACGTGCAGCTAGGAGTCTGGCAGCTCCTCTCTCTCTCTCTCTCTCTGTAGATCTCTCAGTGTGTCTGTGTGTGTGTGTCTGTCTATGTCCGTCTTCCTCCTCTTCTTAGCGTTCACCGGCAGTAAACACCGGCGAGAAAAGGTGTTCGTCCACTCATGGCCTTTGATATTGTTCCAGAACTGGAATTTTGCGTGCACATCCAGTTTGCAAACCTGCATTATTGAAATGCAGACTGTTGGTTGCTCTCATGCAGAATGCTCCAACTTTAAAGGAAAACGTCTCTCTGTTTTCCTCTCTCTCTCTCTCTCTCGCGTTCT